ATAATTACAAATTTTAAAATATTAAATATGTATCATATCGACGATTTAAATAAATAAATAAATAAAAAATGAAAAAAAAACGTCAACAATTGTGGTATAGATTTTTTATTTTTTGGCGATTGATTCCTGATGATAATTGTTGAGACACAAGTGGGATATACGCGACAAAACACAGGAAAATCAAACATATAGGCATCTAAGGCTGGAGGGAGTGGTGCCACCGAAACCGCACTCCTTCTCTCGCCACATAAGCATCATATCACTTTTTACCACTCAAGTGTGATTTCATGCCACACCAAGGGTGTGGTGCCACATTTTTCATTTTTTTTTTTTGTTTTTTTGATATTTTAATTTAATAAAAAAATTTTAAAACTATTTTTATTTAATATAACTTCTATTTTAATAAAAAAAACATAATTTTTCATTATTTGAAATTTAAAAAAAAACAGTACATTACGATTACTTAAAAAAAACATGACATTTAAATTTTTTATTTTTGAGAGAGTGTTGATTTAAAAAAAAAATTGAGAGATAGAGGAGATTGTATTGTGAAAAAAAAAATTGATATGTATATATATAAAAAAAAAAAAAAAAAAAAAAAAAAAAAAAAACTCAACGGCTACCTTCCTCAACCAATTAAAATGCACGGTATTGGAGGACCGCACTGTGGCCAATACCGCACCAGACCGCAGTCTGGGGGCGGTGTTCGCATCCTATGTGGCACGAAGTGCGGTCTTGGACCGCACCCATACCCACCAGCCTAATATATTGACCGGAATTTATTAGATTTAAGTTCTAAGGAAATGTTAACTTGCAAATAAAAACATAAGCTAAGAAATCTGGTACAATCAAGAAACCTTCAAACGTAACCAAGTTTATATAGCAGGGTCGTTTCAAATATATTTTGAGTTCAGGACGAAAGAAAAAAAAAATTGTCCCTTAAAATACAAAAATGTCATCAAATTTTTTATAATAACTCAATAATTTAAAAAAAAATTACTTGTAATATCTTCTAAATATAACAATGTCTATAAAAAAAATGGATCCTAGATGATCACCCTTATCGTTCATCCTTTGGGACGGACCTCTCATATAGTATTTTTTCTATTTTCAATTTTAAACAAGATTATTGAATTTTCTTCAGAAAAGGGAAAATCAAAAAAGATTTTATTTTTGCTATATAATATAAATATTTTTTTTTTTAACTGGTGATTTTTTTTCTTATTTTTAAACCATAATTGTTTTAAAAAACCTCAATCAGCCTTAAGACTTTAATTTTGCTATATAATATATTTTTTAGCTTTTCATATATAAAAAGGCTTTTCGTTTTTAAAACAAGACTGAATATGAATTCCAATGAAATATTTTTAAAAAAATAAAAAAAATACTTCTGACCACTTCTTGTTGGGCCACACAGAACAAACGCAATATTTGATCTTTCGTAGTTGTTTGTTTATTTAAAAACTTTTGACTTAAAATTGTTGTGTGTGTGTTGTGCGACCAGTGGCGGACCTTAGGGGAGCCCGGGGGTCCCGGGTCACTGCTACGATTCTGACACGTAGTATAAAAAAATTATGTTTTTTTTTTGTTTTTTTATTAGATGCACCGGCTTAAAATACGAGTGTCACTACTAATTTAGATTTATTCGAATTTTTTTTTTATTATCACCCCTACTAAAACATTATGCATCCACCAATGTGTGAGACGCAACACTAGATCATTGTCTTCAAACATTTTTTTACCTTACTACAAATTATATCATTCAACATATATTTTATTATTTTTCTCAACATGTTTATTATTTTAATAATATTATGAAATATATTATAAACAATTTAAGTATATTTTACGTAATTTAAAAATCGTTTGGTAAACTTCATAAGAATTTTTTTTTTACATTGTCTATAACCAAATATTAATAAATTATAAAATTAATTATTAAAATTACCAAATATGTTAAAGCTAATCGAAGAAATAACTATCTGTCTTGAATTATTTTTAATGAACATATTGTTTGTTAAATTAACAATTTTATTTATTTGTATTTAGCAATTATTATGTATAATTATTTTATATAAATGTCTTTAAAAATCATATCATTACAATAACCTTTATATTCAATTTATAGTTTATATATGATTAAAACTAAATAAAATTTTAACTTAGTTATTTTAAACGAGAGAATATTTTTAGTCGAATTTTATTATGGTATCAGATTTAGAAGTCGATCATTGAAAATGAGAATTCAAATAAGAAACATTTGAATCGGTTTATTTTAAAAATAATATCATTACAATGATCTTTATATTCGATTTATATATGATTTAAACTAAATAAAATTTTGATTTAGAGTTATTTTAAACGAGAGAATATTTTTAATCGAATTTTATTATGGTATCAGATTTAAAAGTTGATCATTGAAAATTGAAATTTGAAAATTGAAATAAGAAACATTTGAATCGGATTTATTCGATGTGGTGTAGACAAATGGTGTCGGTGACTTTTATATTTGCAATAAATACGTGACATATCTTATATGTAAAACAACACTTCGGGTGACGAAAACATAGTACTGCAGCGAACCGTGAATATATAACTAAGTTGCGGGATGAAATTGTTGAACAGTTGATGCAAAATATGAAATGAATGATTTTAAATTAACATGTGTTTAAATGCCTACCCACCTTCATTTTCCTCATCGATATTCAACAATAGTGAATCTAAGATGAAAGTTAACGGTTATTGTATTAAAAAAATATAAAAGTTTAAAACTCTAAAAAAACTTAGGAATTTATAGGTTTTTATAGCAAAATGTTAAAGTAATGATTTTTCTGCAAAAATGAGTGCAAGGGGTACTGAAAAATGATTTTTAAAGGTAATTTTAGTAATATAATGATGGGATTCACTTTCAAGTGAGATGCATGGACCCCACTCCTAAGATGCTATATCCGCCACTTTTTCAACCCCTCGATCTTAGACTAGAGGGAATGGGTGCGGTAGCACCCACGGTATTGCCACCTCAGCTTGCAGCACACCACCCTTTCTGTGCGGTTTGAACTGCACTCATCTTTTCCACGGCTCTCTACTACCACACTATTCAATCTATATATATATTCTCTCTCTTGCTGGATTCTTTCTCATCTGTGGTTCGTTTAAATATTTTCTTGGGCTACAAAACCCACAAATGAAACAAACCAAGGGAATATTTATTTGCTTTTTTAATTTTTTTAATTTGTTTTTTTATTTAATTTGTATTATTCCTAGCATATTGAACAAAAGAGGACAAGTATTAAATTTTTAGGGCTTATATTTTTTCAGGTGATGAAACAAATGGGTTGTAGGATTTTATTTTTTTTTAAGTTTTTATGAATTTTTTTTAATGCGAAACAAATAAGTTTTATTAAATTAAAATAGTTAAAAAAAACAAAAATAAAAGAAACTAAAAGTGTGGCAAGAAACCACACTTGTGTGGTAAAGAATGACATGACACTTATGTGACGGGGAAGAGAGTGCAGTTTCAGTGGTACCATACCCTCCAGCCTTACACTCACAATAAAAAACAAAACATACACATAGTAGTTGAAACCCAAAGAATTATTACCCAAATCTCCTTAACTTTATAAAGTGTTTGATTGTATGTAATCTCTCCTCTAGAGCACATATGACATCCTCATCTACAATTGTCTCCAACATTATATAGATATCAAAGTCTTATATGCAGTTGAGGAAAGAATAATTAAAGCTTATTTTATATGGATATTTCAAGCCTCCGGGTTATACATATGTTTAATCCTTAACAGATGGATGAAGAATTATGGAATTTATTATTTCGGTAAGATAAAGGGACTAGTTAGAAGCTAAGATAAGAGTGTTTCAATTATTATAAACTTATATTGTTATTAATGTTGTTGTATTATCTTATAAAATTAATCCCAACATATTGTAACATGGGTACGAATGTAGTCAAAGAGATGTGCACCGGGTGTACGGTAAACGATTGTGTTACGTGTTGTTTTTTGAATTCTTATCGGATAGTAATTTGGGTTGTTACGTGTATGACCATGTTGGTTGGTCAGATATTACAATATCATGGTGGATGTTAATCGTATGAGGATACTTATTTCACTCATATATTATTATTATTATTATTATTATTAATGTATATTCTTTATTTTTATTTTTTAAAATTTTTTAAATTATTGAACTTGTTTATTTTTTTTATAAATATCGGTTAATATAATTGGGTACTAGGCGAGTCATGTCTAGACAACATGACTTTAAAAATATATGACAATTTTGTTTCGGAAGGCAGTTTTGTGTGGCTTGAATGTGAAGGGAAATTTCAAGATGAAGTTGCCAAAATTCTAAATGGCATTAACTACCGGACTTTTCGATTTCTGCTGACTTGTATTTATTAATGGTCTTTTGCAAATCCGTTGTATTACAGTAAATTGCTATGTCAAGCATTTATATGTGTATCAGTGTACCACATAAGTGTAATATATAGTTTAATATTTGTGTTGATTACTTTGTATGTGTATTGTATATATTTGCCTTGATTACTTGGTATATTTTTATGCAACAAAAAACTGAAAACTTTCGTCCAACCGTTTTTTATTTTCATAACTTAAACCAAATTTATATAAAACAATAGAATAACATTGCAAGCCTATAACCAAAACCAAAACGATACAAACTAAACATTCATTGATTACAAACTTAATTTCCAAACCATTTCACAAACGACAGCGTTGATGTTATAGATGACATCGTCAATTCATCTGCAAAATGGTTAAATGATACTACAATCATCAATTTCACAAAAGACGTCATTATTGAAAATTGTTTAATACGGTTATAACATATTTGTCTTATTTGGCTTTTTGTCTATAAGTTAATCAGTTGTTTCTCAAAATGTTAATTATTTATTAAAAAAAATCAGCAAAATTACACAAAAAGAATGTGTTTGTCAACCCTATGTCCCTTATCTACAAAAAGTTGCCCATTTTGATTCTTCTATTTTGACACCTTCACCAATCGGTAATAATCACCAACTGAAAGAGATGAGAATTGAACTAAACATTACATGTTTGTTGATATCTGTAAAACTGTTAGCTAATGATAGTAAAATAGTGCCCATGCTAAGATTTGGATCCATTACCTTTCTTATGATTATCAAATTCAAACAACAAAAAAACATTCAAGCATTATTTATTACCATTAATTATCTAATATCATGTAATCATTTTCTACATAACATCACTCCCCATGATGTGAACCTCTCTACCTTCACAAGAACTAACGTTACAGGTTGTCAGAAGGCTCAGTCATGTGCATCTCTACGATGCCACTAGGTTTTATACTAGAAATCAAATCAACAGTCAAGTACCTTTTTATAATTACCAATACAAAACACAAATTCATAATTGGGAATATAGATGACATCAAATTTTGCTAGATATCGGACTATGTTGTTGCTGTTGCAGAAGCTTCATCAATGGCCAAAAAATATCCAATCTGTGAAATCCCCTTGGAGCCTGCATATATATAAAATTATAAATGTATATATTATATATCACCTTCCAAAATCAAATTATAATCTATCGTATGCTGGACAGGACAAACCAAGTTGTACTTTGTTTGGTATGCATTGGACCAGGAACGACAGTCTGACACAGATGTCAACCAAACAAAAATTGCAACTTTTTGTCCCGCTCGAAAAGGTGGGACGTGGACTTGCTCTCGATCTCTCGTATGTGCAAAAGACGTAAATGCCCTCCTCGTCCTCATTTCAGAAATAGTCCTAGAAAGTGGTATTGTCCTGTGTGTGTGTCCACACACAGAGGACTGGATAAGCTTCCTAGGGCTATTTTCGACTAGGAGGATGAGGAGGGCATTCACGTCTTTTGTACATACGAGAGATCGAAAGCGAGTCCCTGTCCCACCTTTTCGAGTGGGACAAAAAATTTCAATTTTTGTCTCATTGACATCTGTGTCAGACTGTCGGTCCGGGTCCAATGCACACCAAACACAGTACAACTTGGCATGTCATATCATGTCAAGTCCGGTTTAATTTAAATGGAAACTCATAATTTTCAAATTAAAAGAAAGTTCATGCCTCAACAATGTAGCGGGCCCACGTGTTGTCCGAACGCCTTTGCGTCACACCGTTCAATATTGTGAGGTCCAGGCCATGTATCACCTCAGCAATCTCAAGGAAACGACTACTCTCATCGCATATCATCTGTTATAAAAATATACGTAAATTTGTGAATTTATATGTCAAAAATATTTTCAACTACTGCGTGTGCAAAAAAAGTAAGTATATGTAAATTTGTATCTCAAGAAGTGCAAATATATGAACCTCTATAATCATGTGACCAGGGTATTGAAGGTCTTCAACAATTATTGGGCATACTTTCAGATCACCTCCCAATTCAAATGCCCAACTTGCCCCATTTTTACCACCTTTTTCTTCAGATGTTATATCATTTGTCTCAATGCTTCCCTCTCCCTGAAGATCATCCACTCATTAGATTGTGTGCATTAAATATTTTATTATGCAACAAGATATGAATACAAATATATATATATATATATATATATATATATATATATATATATATATATATATATATATATATATATATATATATATATTAATAGACTTACCTCTGGTTGAACAAACTGCCTCAACTTGCTAGCACGATCACCAACACTTTTTAAAAAGAGCATGTGTTTTACTGTTCTATCCAACAGACCATCAATGCTACACTGCAATTAAAATGAAATTAGGATATGACACAGAAGGGCAATTTAGTAATTTAAAGAAGAAGAAGAAGAAGAACCTTTGCTCCATCTGGAACAAGTTCACGCAAGTCCTTGAGACGATCCTGAATCAATTGTCTGTCTCGAGGTCTAGCTTTCTGTTTAGAGCCCGGTTTCCCCCTTCGTTTATTGACAATTGACGGTTTTGCCCCTCTACTCTTTTGCTCTTCTTCATCTTTCACTACATCGCCTACACCCTCATATGAAATAGCAGAAGGTGAACAGCTATCATTATGACTTGTCACCCTGCTCAAAACCCCGGGGACTAAATGGTCATTTATAAATACTGAACTCTCTCCCTCAAATCCACCATTTTCGTTTTCATTTATATTTTTTCTTTTTGTCAAAGAAGAAAATCGGCCAAATGAATTACTAAGTGAACTTTCACCACTCGTTTGGATACAAGGATTCATATTTCCCAAAACACTTTCCACATTCTCATTGTAAAAAACCATTCCATTGGTTTTACTTTTACTTTTAGTTTTACTTTCACTTTTACTATCATCACCAATGGAAAGATTCTGGAAAGAATCATCTGCGGGCCCCATGAAAGCGGGCCCGAGAGCTTTATGCAGCTCACATTCTTTAGGGAAGCTTAAGAACGGGCCCACATCAGTAATCATAGGTCCATTGTGGTTTGACCAGTTGACTTCATCAGAACTCTTGTCGTTGTTGTTGTTCTCCATGAATGATGGGAACTCATTGAAGCTTTGCATCATGAATGATGATGATGATTGAGATAGAAATGGAAATGGAAATTGTTGGTTTGTTGAAAAAGTATCAGAATAACTCATGAAATCTTGATGTGTGAAAAATTCGTTTTTGATATAGTTGGACATTTGTGCATCCTCAGGAAGCTGGAAGATTCATTGTGGATTAGATCATTAGATCAAAGTGTAGAACAAGATGCCAGCTGGCAGAAATTAACATGACATGAAGGAAGGAAGGAATGAATGAATACATACGTGTTGTAATGACCCGAGTTGTAGAACTCCATGTGGAGTAACAGGCAAAAGTAAAATAGTCTGCATGGTAGAAATCAAGAAATTATAAGTAAAAATAAAAAAAAAAAGTAAAGAATTGAAAACACAAAAATAGTCAATAATGAATATACCTTGACACCTGCTGCAAACTGAAATAACCATTCATCTGGAAGCTGCCAATGGAAGGGTAAAATGGTAAATTACTAAATTAACTTTTGGTAATTCAGGACTTGAAGTTTGAAACTCACCTCAGGAAATGGAGTGTTTGCATAAATCCAGTGAGAGTTTCCTGTATATGCTACACCACCAACAGCCCTACAAGTAGTTCACACTAACTTAAAATGTTTTTAACATTTTTTAAGAAAGGGTTAATTCTTTAAACAATACATACAGAAAATAGGATAAAAGAAGACTTACCCTTCACCTAATGCATACTGAAAGGTTGACATGTAAGCAACTGTTGTTTCAACTGCATCTCCACCTGAAGTTCCATTATATGTGTTATGTGAAGATGTTTCTTCTTCTAAGTTTCTGAACATTGTCTCAGCAAATAAGTCTTCCATGGAATCTTGAACTTTCATTGTGTCAAAATATCCATCTTCCCACATCAAAAGCCTAAAAAATGTAGACAGAAATTGTGTTATATTGATGAAAAAACAGTGTATACATTCACATGATCAAAAAAACATAGGACATTCTGAATTATGATTTACATCGCCCCTCAACACTTTCTTTGACTTTTCCTTTTCGAATTTCAGAAATAATTGATGTGTTGAAAATGATTACAAAGATTAATATTTTAAAAGAATGATCCATTTTTTTTATATAAATCAATTTAGGAGGCTGTTAACCTTGACTATGACGGGCAAAGATGTGTAATAAAAATAAGATATTTGTTCTACATGTCTGTACGAGTGTATGGACCAGTAAATCCAAAAAAGATAGTGGAATTTTGTTGTTATCAAAGAAACAAGTGGGTTGTCTCTTTCTTTTGGGGGTATTGTTGACCAAAATACCCTTTCTAAATTAGCAAGTGATAGAAAGCTTTAACAAGTCATAGGTGATATAGATGGAAGGATTTGGTTGGAAAGCAAAGCAATGAGTACAAAAGAAATCTCTAGAGACCAAAAGTGCAACTTATCAACTACTATAGGGACCACTTTTGATTCACTCAATAATATAAATATATAATCACATCTCCACCCCTACCCCATAACACAATAAATGATTTTAATTTTTTTAAAAGTCAATGAGATTTGGCTTCTGGGGTAGGCGTATGGATTATTTTGTTATAAACTTATAATAATAATATATACTCAACTTCTAACTTGTAATTCAACAAGGAACCATTTCAAAGTTCAAATATATAAAATGAAAGAAGAAGGGTTTATGAATCATGATAGATACAGCTAAGAACTTTCTGATTCATATATGGAAAGAGGAAAAGAAGGACATACATTTGGCTTTGTTGCTGAAGCCTCCAAAATACAGCATAATTCCAGCAAGAATTGTTGCAAAGACTCTGTAGGAACCTCCTTAAAGGTGTAGTCCCCATATCTTATTTCTTCAATATATATTATAAATTCACCCAATACAGCAAAGATTAACTTGGATCAAAATAATCTAAAAGAACAGTTACAGCTAACTACCCCTGTATGAACCTCTCCCTGCTTGTTTAATCCGCAAACCAGACCGTTTTTTTATTGGAGGTCCTGAGGAAACCATTAAGACACAGCGCATATCTGATAAGAGAACTTTCAGTTTTGCTCTCTTTCTTAAGAATCTAATTCAGAGATTGTCACCAAGAACCGATATCAGATTTTCTGTCACAAGATGAGATGATGTTGAAGAAATAAGCAGTAAAATTGATTTGAAGCTCGGTTGACAATGTTCGTTTGGATTCACAGAAAACAACAATCTAAAGAGGATAATGTCCTTTTCAATCGATTTCTCTAAAGAGTATATACCCCAGAAAAGAGCCCACTTCAAGGTCGAACTTTATGATATAAAAATGAACAAGCAAACCTGCAGCCACAATATTATGAATCGGATTAAGTAGTGAAGTAAGATGCTGCAATCTGAAAAATCCTAATGATAAAAATAAATAAATCACGGTAGAAAATCTCAAAATAGCGATTTGAAGTGAAATACACATCAATGAACATAGAAGTTTCATTTTAAGTTTTCGTCGAGCTGTTATTTGCGCTTTTTATACAAACTAGATGAAACAATTGAACTAATATAATGAAGAACATCACGAATTAACCCTAAATTATTGCGAGCATGAACGAGTATCAGCATTAAGTTAGTCTCTCTGGTGCGCCTGATAACTCCTAGCAAACCATACAGCTCAAAAAAAAATGTGAAGAAGATGACAAAGAACGTACCAGCGGATTTAAGAGGAATCAATTGTAGATTCAAAGAGATAGATGATTATAAAGCTCGAATTCGTTTGCCTCCATATCTCTGAGAGTATTCAAACACAACATGAACACAATGCAAGCGATATCGAAAGAGAGAAAAAAGAGAGCACGATGAAAGAGAGAGATGAACAGGGTTTAGGTGAGGAAAGTGTTATATATGACGTGGGGCGGCTTCCATCTTTGAGACTGATGAGTGCTTGTCGGATCTGCAATTTTGTCAAACAAATGAGCTTGTCTTTTTTTTTTTTTTCATTTAACTTTTATTATACACGTTACACATTGGGAAATTCAACAATCTACCCAGTTTTTTTTTTTTAATATAATTTTTTTTTGGCAAAAATGAGCACATGTTTCGAAATGAGATGTTCCGGAATGAATTTTTTATTATTTTTCAGGTGGCCCAACACATTTCATTGGGTCGGGAATGCCTATTCCGGAGGACTCATATATGTTCCAGATCAAGATTTTGAATTTCAAAATCCGGAATATAATTTAAGGCGACAACTTCATTCCAGAAAGATGCATTCTGATTTCGACTCGATTTTGACGTTCCGACTAGATTACGACGTTTCGACTCGCCAACCATTTCCGACATGAAAGACGAGCACTACGACCCCGTTATTTTACATGTATGTTCTTCGTTTTCTACTGTTACTTATTGTTCCGGATGTAGTAAACTACCTTCGGAATTAACTGAAAACGTTCTGGAGTTTAAATTAAAGAGATCATTGTTGTAGGACCAATTGAAAAGTAGTTTAGATGTGTAGTTATTGTTGATTTACATCGAAATGTCGTGTTCCGGATCTTAAAATGTCATTTTAGAAGGCTTCGGAACGCGAAGAACCATTCTGGAACATGATAAACGTGTCCATAAGATAAGGGATCATATATTCCTCCATTCTAGATATCATATGAACTGAGACATGAATTATAATCATTATCTCTGTTCATGTGTTGTTTCCCGATTTCTGATTTATGATGACCGACTAATTGAACAAATCAAATCAGTTCAGGCTTGGCCAAGCGCTTAGGGTTGTCATCACTAAATCATCGAGGGACCCACAAATACTGCTTTTATCCCACATTAGGTAAAAGGAACGAATAAGCTTCGACTCATATGTTTGTTGTACTTACTCATCAAATCACACACAACAATACGTTTTATAACACCGAGTTACTAGTGCGCTTACGCATCATCAATGTGCAATCGACTTGTAAAATACAACTCACATGTCTTGGTTTCAAGAATATAAGATATTATCATCTCATGATCAATCGTGATAAAATCCATGAAGTGATTCAAATGAACATGGTTTTAGTCCAATACTCAAATCTTATTACAAGACAACTCATGAATACTGCAGCAAACTTGTGTTATGTCTAAACACCTTTAGACAATCTACAGACCCATTCATGACAGTCTAGCATCAATACCTACTTCCAAAGTACGATCGACTGTGGATAGTTTGAATAATCTTATTATTCAGGAAGTCAAAACATGCAAACTGAAACACAAAAATAATCAAATCCAATATGGTCTCAAAACTTTTGAATATAAATAAAACACCTTTTATTCAATCACCATATTGATTACACATTATTTATTCGACTTATCAACTTTATACTTGAATTAAAACAATAGTTATCCCATGTCCAAGCATGCACATTATGTTTACCTATGGTCATTTCTTTGTGAAATAGATCAATTAAATACAACTTCAATGAAACTCATTTCACAACTCCAAATCTTTATCGCAAGTGTAAGAATGTCAAATTCTTGACACTATGAGAATGTGTCAGATTCTAAACTATTATGCAATGCTTCCTTTCGTAATGTCGAGGTACAGAATTCACAGAGACTTTGTCAACGATATTACAAAGTATTCCTTTGGAAATTGTTAACAAAAATGATTTCATGGAAGCGATGTCTCAATTTCAAAGTACGCTCCTTTGAACATCCTTCTTGCATAAAAGTTTCTAACTTCCACATAGATTCCTAATATCCAACTCCCAATATGGAAACATTTCCATATTTTTGATATGACAATCCATTCTTAATAAAGTCCTATCTATTCATAATAATGTTAATATGGTCCATCCATTACTATACTTCCAACTGTCCTTAAGCAACCAATCCTTAGTGAACCTTAGATTGTCCTTGACAGTTGTTTAACCACTTTAGTTATATCCGGTTCTAATCCTTTTTCCCTCTTAATGCCTCAGGCATTTGGAAAATTAGAATATATTAATATTATAGCATATGCAGTCGATCCTATATCCGAAGCATATGGGACACGATTCATAATGTCTTACATAAAGACATGATACTTGACCAATCTTTTGCTATAACATTTTCATACATAATTCCCATGTTGAAACATTCCAATACGGTAATCATATATATATATATATATATATATATATATATATATATATATATATATATATATATATATATCCATGACTAAGTCTAATTAATATTTCAATCCTAAGCTTTTAGATTTGAAATGAAGTATGAGTTCCTCTCCCTTAATTATAGCAAAACAACTTTTCAACATCTGCAACTTTGCGAATTGAAACTTTTTGATTTCTATAATTAACATTTCTAACTCGCAACACTTAATGTAATAATTATACTCCCACTAGCATAATAATTACATTCTTATTAGCATAACACTTATGCCCCCACTAGCTTTGACATGTCTCCAGAAATAAGATGGACTTCCAGAAATCAATACTTGTTTACTTTCTTACCAATGTTCAAATTTCTTATACAAGATATGTCTATAAGACTTTATCTAGGCTTCTCAAACTCATACACCTTTCCTTAGATAGCTCACATGTGTGTCTAAACAATTTCAGAACTTACAGTAATAAGTCTCGAATGTTGTAGACCTATTGCCATTTATCATAATTCGAACTATGAAGAAGGATGTCGTAATCATAATCGAATTTGAGAATGCAAATATCACAAATGTTATCTCCTTAAAATCTACTTAGTGAAAGCGTTTCCTCACAATCATTTTCATGAATTGAGAGAAACCTTATGACACTTGGATTTTATGGTGTATGTGTTCCTATCCATGTAAATTTGTCATAATCACAATCACAAGACAATGTTAGTGACAAATCCAAACTCATATGGACTGAACTTGTTCAATCTTAATTTATTGCCACCTGGCAGCTCGAGGGCGTGCTTCCAATTTGTTATGTAAACAATTGAGAACTCATAGAACTCACATGCATAGTCAACTTTAGCTAGAATTGGCGCAGAAACAAGAATATGTCAATAGGATAGGTTAAAAACCTTAAGTCGTGGGATAGTGATTTAACAATAGGGTTAGTCTTGATCAGTTATTGAAACTTTTCAAGATCTTTAAGGCTCCCACTGACCTCTTGACATATAATATTCTCTTGTCAAGAATCATTCCTTGACAAACAAATATTCAAGAGTTAGTGCGGATTCTTATCAAGAATAGCACTTCACACAATTGGTCTTAGTTGGTCTTTGTTTTATCAAAAACATCACAACTACCAATTACAAATGTTTTATAAACATTCTTAAGATCATGTCACTCAATGTACAATCTTGGAATATGACTCTAAAATTTGATTTTGGAACGAATTATGACTCACCTTAATTGATTTTAACCATTTCAACAATTCCCGATTCCTCTTCTTAGTCATACAATGCACTAAGGTATCGTTAGAGGATCAATTGTGATATGGTTTTCATAATCATTAAAATGTTCATAAAACATGATACTAAAGTATTCTCCTTTCCTTTCAGATTGGAGAAACTTTTAATCTTTCCGCCTGTTTGATTCCTTTTATTCGTTCTGCTATACATTGAAACTTTTTCAATAATTCAGAATCACACTTAATCTTGTAAGCATAACCATATTTACCAAACTTTTAGTAAATCATAACAAATAGTCTTATTGTTCTTTGTGGTGGACCTGACCAGTGCATAATAATGTGTACTAGATCCTTTAGTCCTTCACTCGACTCACATATACATGTGAACAAGGAATTAGTCTTAATTTCCTAAAAATGAAGGTTCTCATTCATCATACAATACAAGTTGCACGATTCCTAGTTTCTATCCAAATGAAACTTGGTTGATGAGAATCTTTCCTTATTTTGTAAATCTCGACACTACCACAAACGAAAGAATTAAATCCATTTTCAACATTGCCAACAATAGAAACATACAAACATCAATTTGCACAAATGTCATTGTAAGGAAGTATAAATAAGATAAAACAAAATTTTCTTTATTTATAAAATTTGCGGAAAAACTTTTCCTTACAATGCAATTACAATAAAAACTATGTTACTAGACATTTTTAAGCAATCTATCATAACTCCTAAGCAGCAGCTCAAGATTATGGTCATCGAATCATGCGATTGAAATCCATGTCTTCGCGATTAGACTTAGCATTCTCTTTCTTTAAGCTTCCTTTCTCTTCTTCGATCCTACAAAACATCAAAATGTAATATTATCACATCATGTATTAAGAATCTCCAAATAGGAACTTAATAGAGTTAGACATTGGATTTACCTGAAGTAGAACCATAAAATTTAATTTTACCCTCTCTTAGATTTCTCAGGTAATCAGGACAACTTTGTTTCCAATGTCCCTTCAAATGGCAGTAGAAACAAGTGGACTTTTTGGCATTTGCACATGGAACTATCTCAGAACTGGTTTTTCTCTTATGATCAAAATTT